ACAAGAATGTGGTTTTCCATACAGAGCAATATTTTTTAATCTAATAGAATGTGTTTTTAATCATTGTCAGAATGAGACACAAGTCTCTTTCAAAACAGATTGTCAATATCTCCTTCTAAGAATCCCTAAGTCATCCAGTGACTGATGGCTAGCACTAGTGATAGATTTAGAGGCATGTTTTTCATGCTATCATCATTTCTGACACACATTCCTGTGTCATGGCCCTCTTTCATTAGAGAACGCATTGTGGAGTAAGGATGATATTAAACTTTAATGTTATTGCTATTATTACTGTGGACTGTTTTTAAGCATAAGCATGCCTGCTTCTTTAATTCTAGTATCTACAGGGCTAGAAAACAAAAAGAGTGCATAAACAGTCAGGAAAATTACTGTATACCCTGGAGACCCAGCATCGCAGGCTCTGCCTGTTGTGAATGATGAATCAAAATGGAAAGGTTATCATTTTCATTAGCTAGGAAAGAACAAGACCATACTTTTCTCCAAGTGTAATTACAGCGGTTCTCCAGCAGCATTACACTGCAGTAATTAGTCTAAAGGTGTGTGTGAGGGCAGGCTTGTGCACAGACACTAGAAATATTATTTCAGAGTTTAAGGTCACAGCCTCGTGTTTAACATCTTCCAGGCAGCTTGGAGGGGGATGGGTAAGGGGAAACTGATTTTACTAGAGCTAAAGAAAGACATTTGACATTTTCCAGAGTCGTGTATTCAAAACCAGTCAGGCAGAAAAATTGTATTTTATTATCTACAGTAAAATAAATAAATAAGTAAAACTTAGCTACAGAAGTAGCATGCCAGAAAATTTGGTAAGATAAGCAGAGATAAAATTCAAGATTATTATGATTGTGGTATAAACGCTTAGGAGAACTTTTGATATGTGTTTTGTAATCTCCTAAACCCAAAAAAATGGACAGGAAAAGTAATTGTTAGAAACTTCTCAGGGAAGGAAAATAATCTTTTAGTATCTTATAGCTCTTCTCAAGCCGTAAATATTTACCTTACACAGATTCTCAAATGTATTTTAGATGCATGTGTGTATATCTGACCTTCATAGGATCTTTTTTTATAAACAAGCCAACTGAAATATTAAAATTTATCTAACCCAATGCCTCAAAATAGGCATTGAACTGACATTCTTTTCCAGATATACATCTCAGGTTTTCAGAGTGTAAAACAGAGGTGACAAGACAAAAATCAGTTTTAAAAAACCAAACAAACTGGGCATACTTTATATTTAATGCCATGTATGAGTTGAGAGAAACCTATACAAATAACATTCCTGAGTTAAAGATATTAACTCAAATATCCTAATGCATTTGTCTAACTTGGATAACTTCTGTCTTTCTTCAAACAATTCTTTTGAGCTTCTCCTTTAAATCCTTCTGTAGCTTGGTAGGCTAATAGCGTGATCCAGTATTCATTCAACAACCAAGTTCTCCTGGAAACCACTGCTTTGTGTCACGCAAATGTGTTTTGTGCACATTCTCTTGGCCATATGGTTAGCACTGCTGTTTCTCACAACTTGAGGCTCTTGGGAAATCTGAAACATAGATGTGACACAAATGACACAACTCACTGATTATGTAACACTGAAGAAAACCTACCCAGAAACTGAATCTTAAAAATATTGCTTTTTGTTTGTCACAGATGTTCCTTTACTGAAGGAAAAAGACATTACTGCAGGATTAAATCTGCCATGCTGTAAGTGTTCAACAGCTAGCAGCTGAATAGGAGGCAGAGAGTACCGGAGCAGCTCAAAGGCTCCCTTTCCTCTCTGCTACTTCCACCAAAATTGGAAGGACGGTGAAACCCACTCCACATCCTCACTTTCTTTAGGGGAATACACTTTCCTTTTCTGCCTTTGTGGTAGATGTGCATGTATGGGAGCTTTTCTCCTCTCTTGTTACCAGGGCCTATTGAACTGTTGCACCCTTACTCCATTACCCAACAGCTCCACGGCTACTGGTCACACAGAGCATTATGGGGATTTCTCAGCGCTTTCATTCAGTGAGCCAATCTGTTGAATGGAGCAATGGTTTCACGAGACTCTTTTTATAATTATAATTATATATATATATTATTTATTTCATAATAACAATAATTATTTAGGACAGAAACCATTGGCTCATGCCTATAGTTCTATGAGGTTGAGGTTGAGAGCTGAAAATCTAGGTTTGAAGCCATCCCCAGTGAAGTCAATAAGACTCTTCAATTAACCACCAAAAAGCCAGAAATAGAGCTGTGGCTCAATTGGTAGAGCACCAGTGTTGAGTGAAAAAGATAAGCAAGATCACGAGCCCTGAGTTCAAGCCCTGATACAGGCACAAATTATTTTTAAAAACTAAATTCATCTTATTTTCATCAAATGGCTTTGGAAGGTAAGGTAAGATAAAGTGAAGTTTTGGGCACTGACATTTGATAAATTACCAAGTATAATTTACTTGTTTTAAACAAATACCATGACTAAGAGTCTCTTTCTGAAGTTTACAGACCTGAGTTAAGTAGAATTGGATTGTTTTCCTGACAGATGTCCTCAAAGGCAAAGATTTGCAAAGAAAAAAACTGAGTTTCCCAAAGAAAAGCTTTAATGGAGCTTGTTACTTACAGGGACACTCTTAGGCTGATTACTGTGATGCACCTCTAGTCTTTAACCACACTGCATTATTATGCAGAGCTGGGGTTATAGCAGCTAGACAATGTAGTGGGAGGTGATTCATCTAAAAAAACAGACTTGAGGGCCACAGATAGAGCTCAGTGACAAGTGCTTACCTAGTATGAGTAAAGCCCTGGATTCCATCATCAGCCCTGGGGGTGGGAGGTTGAGAGAGAGTGGGGGGGGAGGGAGATAGAGAGAGGACAGGAGAGAGGGAGGAGACAGAGAGGAAAGATAGATAATTTTAGGACTTGAGATTTGTACACATTGGCTTAGCCCTTAAGTTCCTTTATCGTTACCAAAGCACATTTCCCCTTTCCAGAGTTGGATCTCCACTTCCTTTCCTTAACTTCTTATAAGCTTTCAGATTACAGTTGATTCTGTTCAAAGTTGCATCTGATAATTCACTTGTAGACAGCTTCATTTCTAAACATACTGAGGAGAGCTTTTGTTGTTTTGAGTGTGGTTTTGAAGGGTGGGGATGGATGGCAGCCGCTGTGGAGCCGGCCTTGGACTTCTGCTCACCTTTGCTCGGTGTACTTGGAAATTTAAGGACCTCTTCAAGGAAACAAGGTGCCAAGAAAAGAGCTTGATGCTGTAGCCTTCTCTTGCTGTAGCCCTCCTTGCTAAGCACGGACTCTAGATAGTTTTGTGGTAGTTGAGGGAAAGTCCAGCCCGCTACTGTGTAAACACAGCGAGTCTTTCTAACTGTGTATACATTTAACTGTCATCGTTATTATCTCCAGATGAAATAGAACAGCTCAGAAATGTGGCTACAACTGTCCACACAAATTCTCACACGAGCAGAGAAGCAGCATAAGTCTCCAGTGGCTCTACATTCTCACACTTGTTAATTCCCTGAAAACTTAATGTTAGATGAAGTATAATTGCAGATTTTCTTAAGAACCATTGACAGATACTTATCCTAAGTTATAAGCAACTCACACAGTGAACTGTGGGCAAACATTCCAAGATTTCCTTTAGCAGAAATACTTCCATGAAACCCAAGCATTCTCCAGACCTTTTGGATAAACAGAGCCATGAAGGGACTTGCCTTTGAGGATACTTGGCTTTTAAAAAAAGATAATGTTGCATGAACTTCCATTGCAGGTCAGGGACTGGAATTAATCCTTGGGATAGTAAAAATCATCTCAGAGACCTTACCATCTTTGGCTATACTTTGAATGGCAGCGTAAACTAGATGGCAAATGATATGGTGTATGAGGTATTTGGCATTGTCTGATGGTGAGTGAGGGTTGCTTTTTTATTTTAATTGTTAGGTGGTCTATTTAGTGCAGCTGTGTTTATGTTTCCTAAATGATAACCACTTGAACATGGTGACAAGTCCCTACAAATGAGAATAAGAATCTCCTTTTAAAAAATAAAATCATCCTGCCAATATGCTTCAAGTTGGGGTTGGGGATAGTATTTATCAAGTAACAGTGGCAAAAATAATTTATGCAACATCATTCAGTACAGCTAGTTTGCTGGATCACCCATTTTGACAACTTTGGTAAAGCTAAAAAATAACTGATACTTTAGGAGCCACATTTCACCGTGGAACAAACTTTGAAATGGTAGTTTTTGTTGTTGTTGGTTTTTAGGTTTTGTTGTTGTTGAATAGTCACTTGTCTTTGTTATTTAACTTCTCGGTTATTAAAAATGAGTGTTTAAATTAGAAATGCAGAACTCACAATTGACTTCGTTTTTCTTCAAAAAAAAATGAACATGCTCGGGGTCTTGACTGCAACAAAGGGACTTTGGCCTATTACAGAAAAATGCAGATAGTCAGAAGATGCTTGTGGGAATCAGTCATTTCTGAATTGCATGCAACATGTAAGGTACTAAGCTGCTAGGGCCTAATGACTAGCTTTTGGAGACATTTTCTTGAGTACTACATCCCTCATAACTCAAATGAATGTTTATTACTATTCTTTCATATTTCCAAAATATTTTCATGAATTTTTGGATTAGAAGCAGCTTGTTCTGGCTTGTTTTGCCACTTTGTTTCTTGAAACAAAGTGATATTTAGATTTTTGGTTTGTCTTAGAGGCCTTAATTATCTTACTTATGTTGAAGGAAGAAATAAGTTCTGTTTCAGTTATGTAAGAAAAGAGACTGTATGCTATGCTAATTTTGTATTTGCACAGTTAATATTTTTCAAGAAATTTGAGTCAGTGATTTGAACAGTGTAACTCAAGTAACTAGCCATCTGCAGTCTACTTTAAATTCAAGAGGACAGGACAGGGTCCAGGAAACTAACTCGACTGGCATTTATGTTTGGCTTTTCAGGTAATTGTCCCTATCTTTCCCTTTCTTCTCTCCACAGATAGGTGAAAGACAACACGTGTTAGTAACAGAAGAATCTTTTGATTCCAAGTTTTATGTTGCACACAATCAATTTTACGAACAGGTAAGAAACACCTCAGGACTCTTTAAAGTTTTTCTCCAAAATGATTTTTTTTAAAAAAAAAAAAAGCTCTGAAATGGAAAGCAAAGGAGATTTCAGAGGGTTTGTGTTCACACAGGGTTCATCTCGATGACTTATTCTATAGTCCACTCACTGCAGAGAAATACATGCATAGAGTGTATTTTAGTCCACATCAATCTCTGGTAAAACTAGCCTTAAACTTTTGGGAGTTTGGAAGCAGGCAGTTAATTAACCCTGCCAAAACGCCCCCAGCCTGATGACCCGGTGGGAAAATGTCTTGCTCCAACAGAAGACAGGAAGGATTGTATGCATGGGCAGCGCCAGCCTGAGAGGGCAGGGATTTCCTCTCCAGACACCTCAGTCCTGCATTGCCTTTGTTGGCTTGGTCATTTAGTTTTCCAGGCTTGTTTAGTTTTAGGTTTTTGTTTTTAAATTTACCTTTTTAAAAAGCACTGGAAGCAAAGGGGGGAAAAGTCCATTCTTTGGACTCCTCCTGTGAACCACTGTGTAGAACTGGGTGAGGATAAAACCTGCTTCACTTGGTGTTAGAGGCCACCTCTAGGGGCTCCCCTCTCCACAGCCTTTGGGATCCCATTTCTCCAGGCAAGCAAGCAGTTCAAAAAAGACCCAAAGCAAGAGCCAAGGAGGAGATGAAATCTGCCCTCCTAGAAAAGAAACTCCATTGGGGTGTGGGGGTAGACATGGGTCAGTCTGGATTGCATTGTCTTTTCTTAATGTCCAATGGGTTTTCCTAAGTTTGTACTGCTTTCTGACCAAATAGGAAGTGATATTTGCTAGGGGTCATGGCTGGAACTGGAGTGTGGGGACACAGCCAGTGTGGGCTGTGTCAGTATGTCAGGTAAGGGATGAGCAAGGGAAGCTGACTTCTCAAGTTAAAAAGCAGAAGGGTGTTGACTGAAGAAGCCTCAGCCTTGGTGACCCACCTGGATCAATCCCAGAGTGGGTGGTAGGTCCACAGAAAACTTGCTCTGCTCAGTCTCCAGAGGAGACTGCAGCTGAGGAAGGATTCCCAACATTCCACATTTGAGCTGAGTCTCTTTCCCGTCTCCTGTCTCATTAATATACTCCCGAGAGCCATTCTCTTATTCAGGCCAACCTTCTGCTCAGCCCTGGGGAGGCGGGTGATTGTGTTGCCTTGCCTCTTCCCTCTCCTTTCTCTTGCCATCTGGGTTTTTGCCTCAGCAGGGAACTTTTTCCCCTTCATTTTAAAGGCAATGGCATGCCTCATTAGCTGTTTCCTCCAATTTAAAGCTGCCAGGCTTTTTGCAATTATTAAAACTGGAGGAGGAAAAAAAAAATAAAACAACAACAACATTGAGCCCTTCATTCAAATCAAGGCTGCGGATCAAGGAGGGTTATTTTTCCAGGTCTCCCAGGGATAGTTTGCTCTAGAGATTTTCTTATTTCATAAAAACTGATTTAAAAGGGCTTTCATATCCCAATACGAAAGCTCTTTTAGTTCGTTTGCTTGCCATAAGTAATTCACCACCCAGGTGACCTTTTCCCTATACTTTGATGAAGCAGGGTACTCAGTGGTCATAAAAATCAAACTCAGAAAGACCAAGATCTAATTTTGCCTCACCAAGAAACTGGCTGAGGTACTTTTGGCTCTTATCTTTTTTCAAAATTTTTTTTCTCTACAACTAAGCCGATCAAAGATGTCAAAAGAGTTATTTTTCTCAATAAGATGAGTTCCAGAGGTGAAGATTGTATCTAAATATCAAAGTGTTGTTGGATTGGAATGGGTCTATTTGTTTTGGACATGAACTTGAAGAGATTGGCAAGCCCAGCTACAGTACTAAAATAGAAGTGTAAGGGAGAGTGAAGGCATTCAAACCACCTCTGAGTCCCAAAGGAGGGAAACATTTGCTCGAGGTAAACATGTACTTTTATCAGCAATCTCTAGTGGAAAGGGACCATCTGATTGTTTCCTGTGAACCAGCCAAAGTGCTCTTCAGGGTAGCTGGTTCGGTGTGGAGGCAGCCTCTGGGGGCTAACAAATGCTTGCCAGAGCTAGAAGAGCAAAAGACTCACTTGGTGCAAAACACCAATATGTTGTGTTATCCAGGTTGCTCTTCAGTGTCTTCCCTCTTCTCCTGGAAACATGTGTGTATACATCACAAAGAAACACGCACGCACACGCGCACGCGCACAGGCACACACGCACACACACACATGCCTTCAATTGAAGTATCTGTTACTCTGACAGCTAACTAGGAAGGTATTAAGAAAAAACACACATACAAGGCTTTCATCATTATTGTCTTCCTTTTCTTCATTGCATGGAACAGCCAAGTACAGAATATCAAAGGCCTGTCCAGAAGTGACTGGCTGACTGCTGGGAGAGGGGGAGGAGGGGCACTTCCTGGCCTGTGGTCCACATGCCTCAGGACAACAGTCATCTGGCGTTTGGATGAGCTCTGTCTACAGCCCAGTCCTTCCCCCCAGGAAAGCCTTCCAGTCCTCTAGGAACCCCAGTTCCTTGAGAAGCTGGAAAATACAGCCCACTTTGGATGGGGCGGGGGTCCCAGCATTTTAAAAAGGGCCTAAGGGGACCAAATCAAGAAATCTGAATCAAGTACAAGCCTTAGTTAATAGTGGCATATCAATATTGTTCATTGCAACTAATTTAGCAGACACATGTAAGATGTTCATGACAGGGGCAACTGGGTATGAGGTGTAGGAGAACTAACTCTGTGCCGATTTTATCATAATTCTATAGCTTTTAAACTAGTCTCAAATACAGTTTATTTAAAAACATCAAGCTTTCTGGATTTTTGTTTTGTAGGTGTTAGTGCCAAAGAACCCTTCATTCATGGGGAAAATGGTTGAAGTGGACATTTACGAATCAGGAAAACATTTTATGAAGGGCCAGCCAGTATTGGACGCCAAAGTATACACACCATCTATCAGCAAACCACTGGTGAAGGGAGAAGTCTCAGGTTTAACAAAGGTAAGTAAAAGATGCTTTCCTCTCATCCTGCTAGTAAAATAGCAGCTGTGGAAGCAAGTAATTCCAGACCATGTTTCCGTTATCATTTATGGTTCCCTTTTTATGCATTCATGAGGCTTTAATCCTTTCTGACAGATTGAAATCTGAATTAGAAAGATGTGTTTTTGCTGATGCCCACAGCTCTGCTCCTGCACCATAGAGGAAACAGGCTTTTTCCACTTTCAGGCTAGAAACAGAAGGGGAAGCCCTTATTTGCAGGTAAAGATTTGCAGTGAAGAAGATCTGACCTGGTATGTATGTGTATCTTAGATCCCAAGTAGAAGCAAGTGAAGAACAGAATGCTTTCTCACTACACTGGTGTTTATACTATCTTGAATACCTGTGGTCCAAAGGGCACTAAACCATGCCGTACACATGGTTTGATTTGTTTCACTAGAGGGTTAGCTAGGTATCTACTTAGGTCATGTAGAGTGAAAATTAAACATTTTTTTCTTTCTATAAAAAAAGGAACCCAATGCCTGTCTTCTACCTTGGTAAATCTGGCTGTTTGCCAAGCTCTCTCTTACATTTCATTGAACTACAGTTGTAAAAGCTGATGGAGTGTGAAATGAAAATGTGTATCACATTTCTAAGCATCATTTGATGTCCTTTCTCCAACACAATTATTAAGCACTCCAAAAAAAAGTATATAGCAATGACTTAGCATATGGGAAAAAGATAAGTCATGTAATTCCAAAATTCTTTTCATCTGTGTATAGCTCTTTCCTGAGATGGATTGTAAGGGAGTGTTAATGGCACTAACAGAAGTCTAGCTGTCCTTTTGGAACAGTGGCACAGAGGACCTATGAAGCCAGTGGACTGCCGCCTCTCCTGAGCTTGGCAGCCTGGCCCATTGTGGAATGGCATGGATTAAGCTTTTGTCACAACCCCAAGAGTGTTGGCTTAAAACACATAAGCATTAGTGTTTGCTATTGTGGTTTGTTTGTTTTGTTTTGTTTTTAACCATCTTATTTGGAGGCTGGGATAGATGGCCTAGAAGCCACAGTAATCTAGTACTGAAATTATATTGTTTGAAAATCTAGCTCTGAATACATTAGCTAATGCTTTTACAAATTTTCAAGGAACCTTTTTATTCTTTTTCTATATAGTGTGTTTTGCAAGCTGTGTGTGTGTGTGTGTGTGTGTGTGTGTATTTTTTACTTTGTATTCTTATTATTTGCCATGCTGGGGATTGATTCCAGGACCTACTACATACTAAGCAAGCACTCTACCACTGAGCCACTTCCCCAGCCCTTCAGTGTGGCTTGTAATTTGATAAGAGTGAAAAGGATTTCACAAAAATGGCAGATTATTATCTCATAGGCCCTGATTTGATTGAATCTTTTCATACACTCCTATTGCACAGGATACTATTTAAAGCATCACTAATAGTATGTAAGTATGCAAAAGTACAACTTTCAAATAGGTTTTTATCTATTGTGTTGTTTTCTAAAATGTGGTATCACATCTAAATTCGTTGAGGCAGACTTTCCTCTTCTCTTCCTCCCTTCTTCCAGCCTACAAAATAGTGTCATCAATCCTGCCAAGCCCTTCTCTGTGTGTGATGGCCTAGATCCTAGGTAGGATGAAGACTGAAGCCAAGTGGCTGCTGGCCTTACCTCAGCTTCTAGCAATAGACTCTCAAAACACACATGAAGCCAAAGGATTTAGGGACATTGGTTTGGGTATTTGCCTAAAGGAAACATCTGCCAAGTTTTGGTATTTTTTTTTTAATCATCATGTGTGACTTTCTATACATTGGTAAACCTTGGTTTTACTCCTCATTTTTAATCTGTTTGTTAGAGATACCTCAATTTGCACTGAGGATTGCACTTGCTCAGCAGGTGCTTTACCATTTGAACCATGCCCCCAGTCACCTCTCCCCATTTATGCCAGTTTTTAAATGTATTCCAGACTTCCTGGAATCAAAAGGTTTTATTCCTGCACTTGTCCTAATAGTACATTTTTTTCTGACCAAAGAATCAAAATGAATTTAGTAGGAAGAGAACATTTTCCATTTATAGGATTTTGAAGTAGATGTTGGGTCTTCATCCGTCCCACAAAAGACGGACGGGTCCGAGGAAAGGTAAGTGCAGGGCTCGCCCGTTCCCTAGCCTCCCTCAGCCCAGGAGACAATTAGACACAGCGGGGAGCCAAATCCAGCAGGTAGAAAAACTCGTTTATTAACAGAGAGCAGCCCCTTTTAAGGTATGGTAAGGGAGGAAGAGGAACCAATCACTGTCAAGGTCACACCCTATCATTCACCTGAGCCTTCAGGGGCTGGTTAGGTACCGTTGGGCAGATCAATTGGGCTCTGCCCACTCAACCCTCTCCCAGCGCCATCTTGGCTGCCCATGTGCTCTACAGTAAATTAGGCTCTGCCCACTCAACCCCCTCCCAGCGCCATCTTTGCTGCCCATGTGCTCCACAAGATGATAGACATTGTGATCACTTCTCAGCCTTTTTTTACCGTAACCAAAGACAGCAGATGAAGGTATAGAACCTGTGTGTGTGTGTGTGTGTGTGTGTGTGTGTGTGTGTGTGTGCATATGTGTGGTACTAATATGAACTCAGGGTTTTGTATTGTTCTGTTCTTCCTTTTGAACCAGGCCTACAGACCTGTTTTTTGCTAGTTCTTTTGTAGACAAGAATCCAGTAAACTTTTCTGCCTAGCGCTGGCCTTGAATTGAGATCCTGCAGATCTCAGCCTCCTGGGTATATAGAATTACAGGTGTGGTCTCTGGCATCACGCTAATAGTGCTAGAAGTGTTGGAGGAGTCAGTTTAACTAGTTGAACAAGGTACCATATGTTTACAATTGCAGAACTCTGGAAACAAAGGAAAGAAGATGGAGCACTCCAGGCAGCCTAAGCTGTATAGCTAGGACACTTCAGAACCAACAGTTGTTGTTTTTTTTTAATTAATTATTTGGGCTATGATCGTGCAGTTCATGTCACTGTTGCATTTGGCAGGGCTGTTATGTTTCTCCATTATATGTGTTTCTCATCTGCTCAGTGCTAGACCCTATCAGAACTTTTACCTTCTCAGTTGTCTGGGCTTTTCTTGACATTTTTTAGAAAAATAATCCTTTCTCTCCATTTTGCAAGAAAATTTGCAAAGCCCATAGCTTGCAAAGCAAAATACTATGCTCAAAAAGTCTTTTCCATTAGTACACCTCCTTAATTGAGAATTTTATGATCATTTTTTAAAAGTCTTCAGCCCTGTGCTTTGTACTTAAGCTGTCTTGCTTAAGTCCAAGCAGCTGTCCTATTGAACTCTTTTGATAAAACATGTGAGAAGAACCGCAGATTCAGAAAGAAGTGCAGGCTGGGCAGCAGGAACAAGGCTAATTCTGGCTCTTACATTGACCTTTTCTACACCAAGGTCCACAATCCTTGGTTGTCTCACATGGAACATGGTAGTAAAGAGTGATCACTGAGCCTAGTGCTGGTGGGCCACACCTGTGAACTTTGCTACAGGAGGCTGAGGATCACAGTTCTGAGCCAGCCGGGGCAGGAAAGTCTGTGAAACTCTCATCTCCAGTGAACCACCAGAAAACCGGAAGTGGCACTGTGGCTCAAAATAGTAGAGCATTAAACTTGAGTAAAAAGGGCTCAGGGACAGTGCCCAGGCCCTGAGGTCAAGCCCCACATCCACCTCCCACCCCCCACCCCCAGAAAAAAAGAAGTGGTCAGTAGGGACTCTTCCAACTCTAACATTCAGTGACAGAAATGTTTCCTTTGACAAAGCTGGACTGAATGCCTACCCTGTGACAAGACTTTGAATTTAGAAATACTAATACAAGCCTTGTTATTTTCAGATGGTAATAAGTAAATACCCATAACATGGTGGAAAAGGAAAACTATAATGAAGTAAAAGGTTTCCTCTCCTCCTCCTGCCCTTTTCTCAGCTTGTATTGAGGGTGGCCTCAAACTTGCAATCTTCCTGCCTCATTTAGTCTCATGACTAGTTAGAATGACAGACATATATCACAACACTTTTGACTAAAAACAAGTTTTTCTTATGGACCATACTTTCTCTTTTCAGCAATTAGAAGAAGAGAACCAAGAGAGAATAGAAAAGAGAAACAAAATTAATCTGGTTATATTTAGGGGAAGGTAGGAGCTGAATTGTTACCTCCATCATTAGAAGAAATAATTTTGAAAAAATATGATTAATTTCAGCAAAAATGTTTTGTCATATTATTCACTGGAAGGTCTCCTGGAGCTTGAGGGGATAACTACAAATCCTGGTCTTTATTATGGAGGAATGTTCCAGAATGGAAGAAGGGTTGGGGGAGGGAAAGGGCAGAGGACACAGAAGCTTTCATAGATGTTCTTGGACAAATAATTCTCAAAGTGTGGTTCCCAAAATATCTGCAGTGTGAGTTCAAGCCCCAGGACTGACAAAAAAAAGTGTCAGTATTATCTTGGAACTGATGAACAGGGCAAAATTTTAGACCCCAAGTTTCTTGAGTCAGAAAGCCTGGGAGTTAGAATCAGTGATCTGGTATTTTGTTTTTGAGACAAGGAGGTATCATTAAAGTGCCCAGGCTGGCCTTGATCTCTCCTTTTCCTGCCCTAGCCTCATGTATCACGATGCCTAGCATATGATCTGTTTGGTTTGTTTTTTTTTTAAACAAGCTTTCCAGTCAAACTGATAAACATTGAAGTTTGAAACCCACTCTCTAGGAAAAGATTCTCATGACAGAAGAGTGTTTGATATTTACAGAGGCAACTTTAATACCTTAATGTAATAATAGCAAGCTCTCCCAACTGTAAAAATAGCTTATACCTGAAGAGAACCTATTGCTAGATTTTCTTAGAACTGTACCAAATCTGTGGCCATTTAGTTGGATAGGAAGGTACGTATGAGCCACCATCAAAGAGTAGGGCCAAGTTTTGCTTTGTTTTGTTTTGGCTCCATTTGAAATCTAAATCCTGAACTTTGTGAAATTTTTCA